AAAAAAAAAAAAAAAAAAACAACAGAGAGGCAGTATAGCACATTGGTAAAGAAAATGGATTCTGAAAAGAAAACACCTGGCCTGAAGCCCAGCTCCACCACGAGCAAGTGATTTAATCTTTCTGGGCCTCAGATTCCTCAGCAGTAAAACGAGGATAATAGTACCTACCTCATAGGATTGTTGGAAGATTACATGAGATAATATACGTAAAATGCTTGGAATTATACGTGGCACATACTAAGCACTATAAAAATTATCTATCATTATCTCAACAAAATGTAAAAGTACAGTTTAAATGGAAATTGAAAAATATGAAGCTAAATATTTTTTAAATTTAATAACAAAAACTAATTAAAGTAGAAGAGTATATAATAGAATTTGGATATAAAACCCACAAACTTACCCGAACAACTTTTTTGCTTGTATTATTACTTTGCTGCCACCCAGATTCCTCAAGTTTGCTCAGATCGTTGAATTTTTTGTTTACATCATCTATCTATTAATAAATAAGGCAAAAATTTATCAGATTATGCTAACCATATTAAAGTTACAAACTAATGAACTGAAGCTTCAAAAAAATTAAGGACGGTGACTCAGAACTGGTGACAGAAAAAATTAGACTCAATCATTCTCAACTTAGTATTCAAGTCAAAAATTTTATGGTAAAATTGTTCATTGTTATTTTTGGTCTTACAAACCTTTAAAAATCTACATAAAGTTGTCATATATGGATAACTCTCCCAAAATTATTTTGGATCCCTAAAATGGTGGGAGAGATATCTTAAATGTTTTTCCCTTAAATTACACAATGTAAACACAATCTATTTTTAAAAGATTCAGACAATATTCTTTACACATATACAAGCAGGATGGGAATATCTAATTCCTCTCAATCCCTCTTCTGCCATGTTTAGTCTCCTCCAAAGAGGTAATGTAACCACTGTCAACAGTTTAGTAAGCATGCTTTTGAGCCCTGGTGGTGCAATGGTTAAGCACTTGGCTGCTAACCAAAAGGTCAGTGGTTTGAACCCACCATTGGCTCTGTGGGAGAAAAGATCTGGCTATCTGCTCCCGTAAAGATTACAGCCTAGGAAACCCTATGGGGCAGTTCTACTCTGTCCTATATAGGGTTGCTATTAATCAGAATCGACTCGATGGCACACAACAACACTATGCCTTCATACACATACAGACTCTTAAACTTTCTTTAAAAAATGTAAATGTCAAAAGGACTCAAGATACAAGAGTGGAAACAATCCAAATATGCATTTACTGATGAATGGAATTCTATGCAGCAATAAAAAGGGATGAAACATGGATACATGCTACACTATGAATGAACCTCGAAAACATCATGCTAAGTGAAAGAAGCCACATGCAAAAGACCACATATTATATGATTCTATTTATATGATATGTCCAGAAAAGGCAAATCTACAGAGACAGTAAGTAGATTCGTGGTTGTCTGGGGCTAGGAGTAGGAACAGGGATTGACAAACAGCGACAAGGGATCTTTTTGGGGTGGTAAAAATGTTCTAAAATTGGATTGTGGTGATAGTTGCACAACTCTGTAAATTTACTAAAAACACTGAATTGTACACTTAAAATGGGTAAATTTTATGATATATAAATTATACCTCAATAAATTTCATAAAAAAAAAACAAAAAAACAAAAAAACGGCCTCAGGCGTCAACTTAAAGAAGCTTCCACTGGCCAAAGCTGGGAAATGAGCTTCAATAAAGATAATTAACTATAAACAATTTAAACACATCAAAAACCTTTAAATCTACAAATTAATAATGATAGTAAAAAAAAGCACAGATTTAACTGGTCACCACTGAAAGATGATAGCAAGTTAGCTCATTATTACAAAAACTGGAAAAATACATAAAAACTGGTCATAGTGTAATGCTTGCATTATTATGACTAAATAAATACTAGTCATATCTGAGCCATATGGTTACTGAGATTATTTTTCCTTTCTCACGATTTTTTCCCTAGACTTAGTAATTGTTTTTGCTTGCTTAGCTTTTTGTGTATCATCAATTCACCTCCAAAATCTGTACAGTAGTATAAATCTCCACATAATAATAATAATAAAACATACCAAGTATTACACCCAGTTCAGTTTCACAGAGACCTTCTCCCTGTGCCCTTGAGCCTCTTGCTCCAACCTGAACTTCTGCTCCCTAAGACACAGGTGTCGTCTTAGACTTAGCCTTCCCTCACTACCAGCCACAATTCCCTCGGCCCCCTTCTGAGATGGATACCACCTTCTGTCTTTCTTGGCTTATTCCCTCGTATTTGTGAAATTCTCAGCTGCCTGAGAAAGGCAGCACAGGAGATAAATTTTGAGATCTTGTATGTCTGAAAAATGTCTTTCTACTCTCATACTTGATTCGCTGGGTGTAGAATTTGCTGTTGAGAAGTTCAAGGCTATTCTGATTCTCGACCCTTTGTATGAAACTTGTTTTCTCTCTGGAAGCTCTAGATCTTCTCTCTGTGCCAAGATCTGTGCAATAGAATTTCATGACCCATTCTTTGATGTGGGTCTACTCAATGGGCCCACAACTAGAATTCATGTCTTCCAGTTCTGGGGAAAAATTTTAAACCATTTCATTGATCATTTCCTCTGCACTATTTTTTATCTTCTTCTGGAATTCCTATTATTTGGATACTACACTTCCTGGACTGGTCCACTTAAATTTTCTTATCTAGTCTCTCCTATTTTATCTCTCTCCTCTATTTTGCTTTGCTTTATGGGAAATTTCCTTAAATTCATCTTCTATCTTTCTGTTGAATCTTACATTTCTGCTCTAGTATTTTTTAATTCTCAAGACCTTTTTTTTTTGTTGCCCTCAGAATTCTTTCTTTTTAATAGTTATTTTTTATTTAACAGATCAAATGCCTGATATCTGAGAACACTAATACTTTTTTAATTTTACTGTGGTAAAATATATAAAAGGAAGTTTGTCATTTTAACCATTTTTAAATGTACAATTCAGCGACATTAATTCCTTTCGCTATGTTGTGCTACTATTACCACCACCTATTTCCAAAAGTTTGACATCACCCCAATAGAAAGTCAGTACCCCTTCATCAATAACTCCCATTTTCTCCTCCTCTTCCCAGCCCCTGGTAACCACCAATTGGTCTCTATGTATTTGCCTACTGTAGACATTTCATATAAATGGGGTCATGTAATAGCTGTCCTTTTGTGTTTGACTTACTTCACCTCAGCAAAATGTTTTTAAGGTTCATCCACGTCATAGCAAGTATCAGAATTCCATTTCTCTTTATGGCTGAATAATATTCCATTGTATTTATATACCCACATCTTGTTTATCCATTCATCTCTTGATGGACACTTGGGTTATTTCCACCTGGTGGATATTGTGAGATACTTGCTTTTAAAAGTTCTTTTCTCCTTGTATTACCCCCATTTCCTTCATCCAAATAGCTTTTTTCCTGTATGTTTGCCTTGACCTCTTTCCTTTAGGTTTGAGGCCTTCTTTAAATGTCTAACAATTGTTGGCTATTGGTTCTTGAAATGGTATTTCATATGCTCATTTCTAGAATAAGCTTGAGAAGCTAAAAAATGTCATCTCCTCCCATACCTTTACTGATCCTCCTAGTGATCCCTTCTATCTTAGCACTTTCTGCATGAAACTAGATTTTTACCTAGTGTCTGACTTCGCAGTCAAACTACAAATTCCCCTGAGATAGAGAACGCATCTTATTTATCAATTCCTAGTATAATGCTTGGCACACAATAGGAACTCAGTAACTGTTAGTTCAACTGAACTACTAAAGACTAGACATACTCATTTTCTCACATGTAGAATCATTATCAACTATTCAACTATTGAATGTAATCTCAATTTCTCACCCTTATAGAAATTATCCTGATAACAGGGAGGGAGGGGACATTAGCCATAAAATTATCAGACAGTACTTTCCAGTTTATAAAGGTGCTTTCCAATATCTCATTTAATATTATAGGTATCTAAAGAACTACTTTTACCTCATTTTACTGTCACTCAATTTTACAAAAAAAAAAAAAAAAAAAAGACTCTTAAGTTAACATACTCAAAATTTTTGAGCACATACCTGAAAACTAATCATATCCCAAAATCCATCCAGATCTGTACAGGTAGTCTCCTTTTCACCTCGTTTATATTCACAATCATTCACCAGTCCTTCAAACTGTTTGAACCTTTCCTTCATAAGAAGTCTCGTTTGACCCACTGTTGTGCGAATAAGATCTTTAGCTAAAGGAAATATGAGGTTTTTAAAAGTTAAATGACAAAACATGACCTTTACTGCAAGTCAAACAACTGATAAGAAGACCTTATTCTAAATATCCAAGGGCTTATCCTTATCTCCAAGCAAAAAAAACGAAAACAAAAACCCTACAACAAAACTTTGCCATACAAATACGGAGCATTAACTATCTGCTTCAATTCCTGCTAAAAATTAGCAATATTCATTCTTCTCATACATATTGCACATAGTAAACAGCATTCTACCTCTCTTTATATTTTACCTGTTACAAGAATTCAACCTTAACTCACTGCACGTCGGTATCTAAGAAGGTGTTCACACTGGCAGCACACAAAGGATTTGTTTCCAAACAGCTTCTCCAAATAAGTGAGATAGGAAACTTTTCAGAAAATCTTTCCCATAATGAGTTAGGTAATTTTCATTTAGAAAATACTTCATATAATTAATACAATTAAACAATACAAGATATTGATGCCACCCATAAAATCATATTAAAAAAAAACAGGAATGATAGTCAATATTCTAATTAGTTATATCTTTTAAGTCATATACCAGTTTAGCACAGAAATATTAGGGAATGTTTCAATAAAATATATTGAGATATGAAAAATTCTTGCTATTTTGAATAATAAAACTATAAAGTTGAAAAACACTACATGTAACAGTGTTAAGAGAAATAAAGCTAAGACATCAAAAAATATAAAAATTCCCTCACCATCATCTGGAATGTCCAATTCAAGCTTCTTGTCCCACTCAAGGCAGCGTGAAGTTAATTTTTCAGTTTCTGACTGAAGAATATTTCTAAAATTATGACATACATTTCAACTTTATAAACATTTCTCATACTAAAATCTAAGTATTAGTATTATGACATTTATACATAATATTAGTAAGCTATAAAAGGTTCATGAACTGTGATCTATTAAAATCCATAAGTACAAGTTAATACCCTATATATGTCCATCCTTCTACACCTAAAACTTAGGTGAGTAGATATGTTAAAGGCTCACTTTTTTTGTTGTTGTGAATATACACAGCAGAAGATACATCAATACAACAATTTCTACATGTACAATTCAGTGACATTGATTACATTCAAGTTGTTCCTCCTCCATTAACATAAACTTACTGCCTCCTAAGTTTCTTATCTGATCTTTCGAGTTGCTGTTATCAATTTGATCCCATATAGACAGTACCTAAAAGAGCACAATGCTCAAGGCAGACATTCTTTACTAATTAAGATAAACTATTGTTTGGTTTAAGGAAGATTTCAGGGGATATTTTTGGTTTAAGGTTTAGAGATTATCAAGAGCCCGTTCTTCAAGCTAACACTTCTAGTTTGTTTTGTTCTCATTTTTCAGAGGTTGAAGAGATTTATGTATAGTAGCGTTACACATTCCTTAGTATGTATGAGATTCTCTATTACTGCCCATAGAGCTAAGATCAATCTAGCTGCCAAAAGTAAGTTGAAGCTAAAAACTGTAACATCTGGGATTACGGTGATAGAGCCCTACAGATTCTAATCACCAGGCTTTGCCTGGCCTAAGGCAGTGGTTCTAAATTGAGGCTATTTTGTCCCCCAAGGAACATTTGGCAATGTCTAAAGACATTTATGGTTGTCACGACCAGAAAGGTATTACTGGCATCTAGTGGGTGGGTACAGGCCATGGATGCTGCTAAACATCCTACAATGCACAGGATGACCCTCCACAACAAAGAATTATCCAGTCCAAAATGTCAATACTGCCAACATTGAGAAACTCTGGCCTAATGTGTTTAATCTATTTGTATATTAAAAGCATCATAGCAGGAGAAACCAAGGATAATTTTTGTTTCTAAATAGAAAAATTTAGTTGTTTATATCCAATGGCACGGCAGAACGATTGAGTTAATGAGAAATGAGATACGGTTTAGCACTGAATTATCTAGTTGGGTAAGCTGTTTAATACCTTCAATGCCTAAGCTGAACAACAGAAGCAGTTACTAATCTCTAATATCCCTTACACATCTAAAACTTTTTGTGTCTCTAAAAATAATTGGGGGAAAAAAATCCGTTGCCATCGAGTCAATTCTGATAATTGAAGTGGATCTTAAACATATAAAAAGATAACTCCTAATAGGACAAATGAATTTTAAAACTACAATGAGATAATATTTATCATCTACTTGATTGGCAAAGCTCAAAAAAATTGTTAATACGGTATTGGAAAAGGTATGAGAAAACAAGAACTCTTATACCTTGCTGCAGGAAGTATAAATCAAGGTATTATGTTTGCCAAGGGGCCCTGGTGGCGCAGTGGTCAAAGAGCTCGGCTGCTAATCAAAGGGTCGGCGGTTCTGAACCCGCCAGCTGCTCCGCAGGAGAAAGATGTGGCAGTCTGCTCCCGTAAAGATTTACAGCCTCAGAAATCCTATGGGGCAGTTCTACTCTGTCCTATAGGGTCACTGTGAGTTGGAATCCACTCGATGGCATTGAGTTTGGTTTTTTGGGTTTTTTTAAAATATAATTTGCACATGAGAGAATTGCACATTAGCCTTTGCAGTATTGATTATAATAGCAATAGACTGAATTCAATGCAAATGCCCAGCAATTGGGACCTAGTTAAATAAACTGTGGTACATCCATATGATTGATTACTATGTGGCCATTAAAACACACACATACACACACACACACACACACACACACACACACACACACACAAAACAACATGAGAAAGTTCTTTACTAAAATGGAATGTCTCCAACATTTAACGTTAAATAAAAATAGAACAGTGTGTATAGTACACTACTTTTTATGTTAAAGAATATATACTATGTTTCTATTTGCCTACATATGCACTATCTATCTCTAGAAAGATTCACAAGAAATGAATAACACTAGTTGCCTCTGTGGAAGATTCAAACTATGGGGTTGGGAGACAGAGTTGGGAAGGAGGATTTTTACTTGTATACCTTTTCCTAACTCTTTAAATTAGGAACTACATGAATGTACTAGCTGTTAAAAAAAATAATTAAAATTTAAAAGATAAACGAGAATCACCCAAAATTAGTTTCCCCTTAAGCAGTCTACTATATTAAGGTTAAAAATATTTTCCTTAATTTTGTTTTTAAATATCTAAACATTAATACAAAATTGTTAAACTGAAAACAAGTGGACAAACCTAAAGTATGGCACATCATGTTGTGGCTGAGATATCTGACCTTCGTTTATCTCAAGCGATGGAACTTCATATATTAAGAGGCCACTTGAATTTTTAGTAGCAGTTTCATTTTTATTTAAGACATGTTCTGTAGATTAAAGAAAATATTACATATAAATTTCAAAGCAGCAATTCCTAAAATGACATCCCCTATAAAAACAAAAAATTTAAAATCTGTCCATTTTTTTAAATGATGAAAATTTTAAAATTTTATTTCTGCCTTAGTGATTTCATTCACATCTCCTCTGAAGTCTTTCTCAATGTTCTTTATCTCTTTAATTTACATTTTCCCCTTTATTCTCAGTCTGTATTCCTTATTCCAACTTTCTCTCTCCAAAAATCGTTACTCATGTTTTTGCATCTTTTCTGACCCTGAGGAGACTTCCCCGAACTGTATGGTGAAAAACAGCTCTAAACGTATTTCTGATGAATCATAATCCAGAAAAGCATATGAAATTCTAATTAAAATACTATACCTTTATTCCAAACTGTTGGGGAACCGAAAGGACACTGTGCTGTATTTGAATCTTGCTGTACTGTCTCAGTACAGTGAGTTCTACATTTTTGTGCCAAAATTTCTTTTTTTGCTTCTTCAGTCTCATCACTAAAAACAACAGCAAAAAATACTTCATGAAACATAGAACCCCATATATCTATTTGAGGGATTTTGAAATTGTTTTGCTTTTTAAAACCTGGAATAAAATAGCAATGTTTCTTTTTTTAAAAATATGTTTGTATTGGAGGGGAAAAAATTATAAATACTTATAGTGAGAATATCCACCTTTACTAAGTGTATATGAGGTTCAAAGATTTTGAAGATCTCTTAATGGAAAATATAAGCACTTAACAATTTTGGATGGTGCTGAGCAGTTTCTAGAAAACGTGCTGCTAGGCAGCATTTGCAGGATGACCTTGCCTTTTCTTTTAAAGATTCCAACTGATTGTCTTTCCACTTTGCAAGTTAATCATTTTTGTCTTTAGAGGTAGCTCTTCTAAAGTGCTACTCAGAAAAAAAAAAAAAAAGTCTGAGCTACAGTATTGTAGCAATTTTCTTCTTTCTAAAAATTTATTTCTAAGTGTTATAATAAAGTCATTTATTAAATCGAAAAAACAACCAAAAAACCCCACAATCATATGGTGAAAACATTGATAACAATGCATAGGAAATACCAAAACTGTCAAGTACATTATGATAGACTTCTGAAGAATTTAAAAAAAAAACCAAATTTTAATTATTTATAGTCAACATAGCTCATTAAATAACTTTTAAAAAGCACAGACCAAATCTAAGATAGGCCATTAATATTTTATTATCCATCTTAGCAAGGAATTCATTGTTAAGATGACATTCTTACACTTCGGCTTTTAAAGGAGTCCAGGTGTAACTAGGTGTCAAAAAAGCATTGGCTCTTGTGGGAATCATGGTTGTGGCTTGATAGGTCTTCAGACCATCCAGTGGCTGAAACGTAAAATCTTTTGGTGCGAAGGAATTCTTCCCTTTCATTTTTGCGGTATTTGTCTTAGGTAAATTTTCCACTTTTGATAAAGTGCCATCTGGATCCACTTCATTTGTTGCACTGGTTTGTGAATCCAACATGTTTTCTTTATTATCAACTTTAAAAGAAATGTCCTAGATGTAAGTAAACAGAATAGAGTGAGAATTTCTATGGATAAGTAGAATGTTCTGGGGATACATTTAACCAATTTTCACACACCTGAATTGAGATATATGTCCCATGTACCTAACTTGAGAGACAAAAACAGAGATACATGGAATCAGAAGACCAGTTACATTAAACCATTGCTATGATACAGGAAAAGAGAACTAATCCTTATTAAAGGACTAAGGAATTGGTTTTATGTATTATAACAAGTTAAAATGCATGAAAGCTAAGGTAGAAAATTTTACTCAAAAAAAAAAAAATGTATCTTTTTACTTTAATTGTATTGATAACTACAGTGGTTTGAGAATCAGAAATTCAACGTTTATTGAATGATTAGTATGTCAAGGACTGAATCCTTTTTTAAAATACTAATATGTAAGCAAAAATATTTCTCAATGTCACACAATATGATTAATCATATAAAATATGAAGTATATTTTCTTTCTCAAGTCAATATAATTGTTACTTGGTATTTAAAACAATTTTTAGAGGGTTCTAAGTTTCTGATTTTTAATGACAGATGGACTCAAAACCTAATACAGCTTTGTTCTTTGAAGTAACATGACTTCATAGAAAAATTGTTTTACAGAAAAATAGCTTACAGACCTTCTTTGACCAGTTTGTATAGACATAATACATTTAAGATAGACGAGATAGCAATTAGGTTGCTTACAAAAGGAGTCAAGTTCTTACAAGGAATTGAATTTAGTTCATTCTAAGGCTTTCATTTGTCTTTTTCTAAACATTCTTTAAAGGGGAAAGGGTATTATCAAATAGAAGAATACATCTAAATACATCTATTTTTGAATAAAACATTTTCCTAACACATACTGTATTTCCGTTAATTAGTACTAAATGTGCATTTAAGAATTTAACTTCACGACTGTGTCCAAGGAGCCCTGGTGGTGTAGTGGTTAAGAGATCAGCTGTTAACCAAAAGGTCAGAAATTCAAATCCACCTGGCTGCTTCTTGGAACCCTATGCGGCAGTTCTACCCTGTCCTATAGGGTCACTATGAGTTGGAATCGACTTGAGAGCAACGGGTTTAGGTTTTTTCTGGGGTGTGTGTGTGTCCAAAAGTACAAAACATGTAGGCCACAGATAAAGTTTTGGCCTATAAGTTATGAGCAAAATGGAGAGGGAAAGAAAAGAGGTGCAAGGTTGGGGGAAAAGATAAGAAAGACAACAGATGTCTCATATAGTTTTCTCTTTCTTTTTTAAAAGATTTATTCCTCAAATAGCATCTCTGTAAAAAGCTAGCAAAAGCCTGTTTCAATAACCCACGGAACACAGATACCAAGGCATTTTAGGGAGGGAGATTCAATGGGATAAACATCAGTAGACTTTACTCCTACCCAAACATAGCTGCACATATAGAAAATGTCATTAACTTATGTCATCAACATACTCCGAGAATTCTGTTATGACACATTTAACAAACCAACCTTCTAAACTTCCCTGGCTACCGTCGAACAAAGTGATTTCTAATAATGACTGCCAAGCCATAGCACCACTTTGACAAAATAGTCCTGCTATACTTCTACTTGTTCCTGGGTGATGCAAACAGTTAGTTAAGCTGCTAATTGAAAAGTCAGTGGTTTGAGTCCTCCCAGTGGTACCTTGAAAGAAAAGTCCCGGCAATCTACTTCCAACAAATCAGCCACTGAAACTCCAAGGAGGACAGTTCTACTGTCACACACATGGGGTGGCCATGAATCAGAACTGACACAATGGCAACTGGTTGGTTTATACTTCTACTTAGAAACAACGGGGTTGAAGTGGGCATTTGTCGCCTAAGGCATCTAGAGATGGGCACTGACATATTGTCCATTACAGTGACTCAACTTACCTTCCACTTACCCAACAGGCAAGAAAAGAGGTCAGAACTCAAAAATGAAGTTACTCTTCTTCCTATTCTATTTGTATATCTCACACTGTGTTTTCATATGATCCTACTGTGCCATGGGTCTAAGAACACACACTTGTGGATAGAAGTGAACATGATCCCCTCAAGACAATGTGCATTATCAGAGCCAATCCTTGGGTAGGCCCTGAGATAGAAAATCAAAACTTAGAAAGCTACAACACACTCAAAGATGAATCTAAGCATTAGGGGTTCCAGAAAGCCTTTATCTCTTGGGTGTAGGTGGGGAGCTTGGTAGAGGGTAAGCACAGGAGAGAACTACCAGTTAAAGATGAATAAACTATAACTTCTAAGGTAAATTATCTAGTTTTGGGTTACTTTGTTTACATATTATTATCTGAACCTTAATTACAAGTTCCTACAGGGAATTCAGGACAAGAGTTAAAGTGGTAACACTGTCCCTGAGGCCAGTGTGGCAGTGAAAGTAAAAATTAGTAATAATCCTTCAGGGGGAAATGAATCTCAAGGGAGATGCAGCTGTTCATCAAGGAAGATTTGCCCTGTATTGCCTTCCGAGGAGGAGGTTTGATTTTTAATAAGAATCTAGCCAGGTTTTTTACTCTTTGGCAAAATTTTTTAAGGAACTATAGCATGGATTATAAGCCAAGGAACTGGGTCCTCAAAATGGTGGCTAATTTTTGAGGACCCTATTAGGCATTATGCTAGATGTTATAGAAGTGTTAGCTTATTTAATTCTTAAAACTATATGTAGGTGGAGCCCTGGTGGTGTAGTAGTTAAGAGCTCTGCTGCTAACCAAAAAGTCAGCAGTTCAAATCCACCAGCTGCTGCTTGGAAACCCTATGGGGCAGTTCTACTCTGTCCTATAGGGTCACTGTGAGTCAGAATCAACTCGATGGCAACAGGTTGTGTTTTTTGTTATAAGTAGGTATTCTGTACCTCCTGTATGGAGGTATCCCATGTTAGAGATAAATTACATAACTTGCCCAAGGTTATGCAGTTAATTGGAAGCTAAGAGAATATTCAAACCCAGGCCTAACTGAATCCAAAGTCATTGTATCTACCCTACTCCATATTGTCTCTTAGTTAATTCTTAACATGATGTTTCTCTCAGCCACGCTTTTATTATTTTTCTCCATATTCTGTTAACCAAATTATGCTTCCTCTACCTCTAAGCTCTGAGGATGAGATTATCTGAAAAACAGCAACAGTAAATCATTTTGATGCTTCCTTATGATTCAAGAGTTTTTAACGCCGTATAGGTTAACCTCTTGAAGCCGTTCTGTATGTTCAATTTCAACTTTATAAAATCAGCAATGAGATTTTCAAAGTTTCTAGAACTAAACAGATGTTTATACTCTACCTTGTCAGGTTTTGCTTCTATCTTTTTGACAGGTCTTCCTTTATTTGGTGCTTTTCTTTCTAGTTCATTACCTAAAATAAAAATGAAATAAGATTCCATTTTGACTTGATAAAAAATGCTGCATTAGAGTACTGAGTAATTTGGGAAAGGAAAAAAGGCAACAATAGGAATGTATGTCTTAAAGAATTTTCATGATTAAAAGCCAGATTATAAAACAGGATAAAGACAGGTGAAACTGCTGTCTAGAATAGGCCACCTGTTTAAAAATAAAAGTTGTACCTTTTTTCTCTGAATACTTAATACATATTAGAGAAAATTAGGAAAATACAGAAAGGCACAAAGAACCACCACCACTGAAAAAAAACAACAAAAGACTAACCGACATTCCATTACTCAATAATAACCACTGTTGGCATTTAGGGTATGTTTTTTCTTATGTTCACATATTCATATACTATTTATTAGAATTATTATCATACTGTTCAGAGTTTAACCTGTTTTTATTTTCCCACTTAATATGTCATAAACCATGTCATTAAGTGTTCTTTTATAATGTTGTTCTTAATAGCTGCATAGTATTCCACCAAATGGATAAACTAATTTATTTGGCCCATTGATTTTTCCCTTTGAAGAAGTCACTGCCTACACAAATTCAGGTACCTCAACATTTGAGAAGCCACCATGTACTAACCACCATTCTGCATGTCGAGGCACAGAACTTACCTTCAAGAATTAGAACCCCCAGTTCCTCCTCTCCTACTCAAGGAAGTCCTTGCTGATTTTAACTGAACACAAAAACCTCAAGGACCAAAACATTCTAGTTTAGTCACTGATCAAGAAATAGTTCTTACCATTAGCAGCTCTTGAGACTGGCTTTCTTATTGTGGTAGATGAGACTGTTCTGGCAATTTGGTTTGCTGCTTGAGTAGCTGATCGAGTCATCCTCACTGCTGTAGGGTTGTACAGCAGTGGAAAAAAATAATCAAATCACATGTTATTTATAATTATTAAATTATTTGTGGCAGCACCAGGGCTTATAATAATTGCTGATATTCCTACCTTTTTTCTCTTTGTCCAACACTTTCTTTTCAGAAGTTAGCCTCTGACCAGACTGGATTGCTCGAATGTTTCCATTATTTATCTATTTAAAACATTAAGTGCGATGTGATTTAATTGCGTAATGAATCAAATCACATTTTTGATCTGTAAGTGCCCTCCATCTGAAATCTCCCAATCGTAGCAAAAAAAATCCCCTACCCCGTATAAAATAAGGTGAAGAAAAAAATTTTCCATCCTATAAATTCCTTTACATCCTTGTTAGAATCCTAGAATTTAGAAAATGCTAATATCCCAAGCTATTAAAAATAGCTGACTATAACCTTAAGGGTCCTTAAATACCCCAGGCATGCTCTCACTTCAAGATCTTGGAATTTTGCCTGGAAAGTTATTATCCTGGATAGAAAGCTCTTCCTCATGGTTCTATTAAGGAATAAAGACTTCATTTAAAATGCCACCATCTCAGTGAGATCCTCCCTGACTGCCCCAATTCCACCCCACCCCTACTTCCAGCACTCCTCATCTCCTTCTCTTCTTTCTTCCCCTCCATAATATGTATGACCGTCTGACAATCTACATATTTTATTATTGCCTGTCTCATCCTATCTGTTAGCTTCATGACAACAGGAAATTTTGTTTGCTTTTTTCACTGCTGTAAACCAGAGCCTAGAACCGTACCAGGAACATGGTAGTGACTCACAATCTGTTGAGTATGTGAAACTCAGCTTCCTCATATGATAAAGAGGGATATTATTTCCCTTCTTGCCCACTTTACTTCAGTAACCCTCCTAACTCACCTCTATCCATAATGGTGTTTTGAAAACCCATAAGTTTATAACACCCACCCTATGTGCTATGCATCCCTATCTGCATTCCATGTCGACTTGGAACACATAACAGGAAACCAGTAAAAGAAAAAGAGAAGCGATACAAAAACAAAGTTTGGCACAGATATCATAAAGGATGTTAGGGCAAAGAATATTTTAAATAAATATTTCCTTAGTATCTAGTCAAAAAAACTACTCTATTTCACCAAACCAATACCAGTGATTTCGGTACCTGTTAACTCTAGTAAATTAATCACTACTCTTGAGATAATATTAGATTAAAAATGAATTTACTTAATTTGAGAAAAAAGGTACAATTAGTCATTTCAGTAATAAATTATCCACTAAATGTTAAACTATACCTTGGTCTGCTCCATTTGCTCTTTGGCCTTTGACCTTGTAATCCGTACAGAAGATGAAACAGCCTTAAAACAAAAGAATAGAAAATTAAAAAAAAAAAAAAAAAGAACTGGCAAGTTTTATTTCCCTGACTCGTGAAAAAAAGGTTCCCATCTTAAAGTTCAGTTCTCTCCTTAATCATTTATAGCAAAAGATACTTGCTAACTTAAATTCCTATTTTTCCCAGTTCTGGCCTGATTTAAACTAAATTTAAGATAATAGTTTCAAAATTTACTCTTGTTTCAAGGTATTAGAATCCTCATTAATATGATTAGCTGGACATATTGGGGAGGGGTAGGTTAAACAGACTAGAGTATTAGGATCTTTTGTTCTCGTCTTATAAGAAGATATTTTGTGGTATGGTTTCCTAGTGTTGACAGTTTGGTTTCAATCTGATGATTATGCACTAATTCACTGTCACTAAGAAAATGGAGAACAAATGTCAGTGAAATCCTAGTGCGATAGAAACTAGGGTGAGGCATTAGTGGTTCAGTAGTAGAATTCTCGCCTTCCATCCTGGAGACCCAAGTTCAATTCCTGGACAATGCACCTCATGCACAGCCACCACTTGTTTATCAGTGGAGGCGTGTGTGTTGCTATGATGCTAACAGGTTTGAGCAGAGCTTCTAGACTAAAACGGACTAGGAAGACGAGCCTGGTGATCTACTTCCTAAAATCAGCAATGAAAACCCTATTGATCATCATGGTCCGATCTATAACTGATCATGGGGATGGCCCAAAACAAGGCAGTGTTTAGTTCCATTGTACATGAGGTCGTCATGAGTTGGGGGTCAACTTGACAACAGCTAATAACAATGAGACAGAAACTAGGCTTCTCTGTAATGCATAAAGTAAGCCAAAATTCAGCAATGGCTTCCTGTGTAAGCAGAATAAAAAACAATTATTGGTGAATTTTATTAGTTTAACATAATGTGTGCTTCTTTTCCCCCTACCTATAATACTTTTAAAAGATTTATTTACAGTTAGGCCAATGATTGGCATCCTACATATTCTTGAAAACGCAGCTTTAATCCTACCTCTTGCAAGAGGTTTACTTTGACGTTCTTCCAAACAAAAATACTCTCTTCCTCCTCTAACGTATATAGAATATATTTATATCTTTCCACCTTGAACTATATTCTATTAAATTTTGTCTCCTCCATATTCTCCTGAGGTCATACATAGAGTAAACACTCCAAGATTTGCTGACTAAATCAATGAGCTCATGAGACCCAGAAAAATAGGCAATATCTTCGGCCTTTGTTCAATTCTTATTTAAATCAAGAATGACTATACAGTCAATGAGATCTTCTACATATATTCTTTAATATGAGTAGCTCTTTTAAACACATCTTTAAAATAGCAAATCAACAGTGGCTACTTAATTCACAAATTCAACTGCCTCTTTTCAAACACCATCCTTCTTGACTGACCATTCTCTTCTCGTTTAGATCACCCATCTTTTAACTTCTGTTTTAGTTCTCCTGACACCCTGACCATTCCTTCTCAGCCTATCACTGGCACCTAACTTCTGCCTACCTGAAGGTGCTCTCTAGACCCCATTCTTAGACTTTTCTATAATTTTATGTATCTTTCTTAGGGTGGCCTCATTTAGTCCTATAGTCCATACATACTCTCAATATATCCCAAATTCACATCTTAGTACATATCTACATCTTGATTTTCAATTTTTTAAATTTCTAACTGCCTGATATTTAGGAGATTCAAATAAGTTAAAAACAAACAAAAAAGGTTATCAACATACGACCCACATGAACCTGTTTCTTTTCTTCTCGCCTTCCTCATCTCTTTTAGCAGCGGCAGTATAGTTTACAGGTACTTAGCCTATTACCTTCAGAATCACCTCTGATTCTTCAATTTCCTTCGCCCCTCACCATCTACTTGGTCATCAAGGCCTTTTAAAATTATCTCCTAAGAAGTCTTGTATCTATATCTTCTTTTTTAAACCAACTACGCCAGTCTACCTATACCATCTTACCTATTCTATCACGAGTCTCACAACTGGTCTTATTATCTTTAAATGCTTCCCTTTCCAGACTATAATCTTCAAGGTCAGGATACTCTTGAATTATTAACTTGATAATGACACTACCTCATTTAGCTTCCCTTGGATCTCAGTATGCTACAAAATAAACTCCAAATCCTTAGGCATAGCATTGTTTAAACTGGCTTTACCTTTTTTCCTAGCTTTGTCCTATTCTCAACTTACCTATAGCCACGAGAGACCTGATTTGCATTCTCCTGAGCTATTACTGATGCCATTCACACCTCCTACCAACTGGTTAAGTGAAAAAAAGGGAAAAGGGGAAGGAGTTATTTGTCATTTCATCTCTGAAAGAAAATTCCAGCTAAAAGGAACTATTTCCCTATATGAGGTTAAGACACTAAATTTACCTTTTTGGGCTCAGCTTTCACAGCATTTGATTTGGAAAGAGACAAAAGAAAACCAGGCACATCAGGTCTATAAAGACCCACTTTGAATACTCCTCGTTTAGCTTTCTCTCTCTGCTCTTTCAATTTTTGAAGTTGCTTTTCTTCCTTGTATTTTTGTAGCATTTGTTTTCGTTGATCACCTAGAACAGATTTAGCTGACCCTAAGCAAAACAAAATAAAGCAAAACAACCAAACACACAATATATAAAACATTTCAGATAAAGTTTTGCAAACATCTCAAAAATCATTTTGTCTAACTTTAGCTGCTGCTAAGAAATGCTTTTAGTCACTTCTTGTTAATTCCTTAGCACTTTACTTATTTCAACCTCTATTATTTTTAAGCATCCTGACTCCTCTTTCTCAACCCACATCCAATCCATCAGAAAATCATTGGTTCAATCTTCAAAATACATTCAGAATGCAACCACTTACATTTGCTGATATAACTACCATCAACTCTCACCTAAATTATCACAATAGTCAGAATTCTAATTGGTTTCCCCTTATGTCATGTTTGCCACCCTACTATCTCTTCTCAACATAGCAGTCAAAGTGGTCCTTTTAAAACATAAATCAGATCATATAAAAACCCATTAACCCATTAATGTCTTCCCATTTCACTGACAGTAAAAGCCAAAGTCCTTATAATCATGGCCTTCAGAGCCCAACGAGATCTAGCTTCCTTAGCCATGGTTGCCTACTTCCTGTCTCTGGAACATACCAGGCACACCCCTACCTGTGGGCCTTTGCAAATGGGGTATAAACAAATATTTTTAAATAGTGACTGACATATTTAGACTTACATTTGAGACATGTTGGTCACGGGAATGGAGCATTTTAGAGGCAAAGAGTAGAGGTAAGAAGAACACTTAGGAGGCAATTAACATCACCTCTTCTCAGGAAAATGACATTTGGTTCTTCCTCTAAAGGCCATCCCATATCATTCTATACTCTCAATTTCATTTCTTCCCCATTCCCAATTCCTTGTACTCTCTCCCCCTCATTTCCTTTGACCTTCAAACATGCATTGATCACCTCATCTCAAAAACAAAAAAGAATCCTACAACAATTTTGCTCAATTCTTTGCTCTTATTTTCCATTAGAATCAGAAAAATGTTCAATTTGGAAGAAACCTTTTAGCCCAATCCCCTATTTTACAGAATCAGTTAAACTAGAATACATGGAATGGCTTCTAAGTGCTACAAACTATAGTTGTACTGTAAAATAAATAATAAAATTGAAGCAATAACAACTTGACATCTCATTTCTTTCTCTATAAAACTTCTGAGAATACTTTATTTCTTTCTACCATTTCATCATCATTTATCCTTGCTTTATTTTGCTGCAATCTAGCTGTTACTGCCTGTTATATAAACACAACTAAATAGGAGTCTAGTGACTTCTATGTAAGTGCAAAAGCCATCGCCCAATTCTCTTCCTCTTTCCCTGTAACATTCCTTGCCTTCGAAGATACTCTATTTTTTAACTTTTTCTGAGATTATTCTATTATTCTTTAAAGGTTATTCTTTATTCTAGTTCTTTGCTCTCTAACGGCCCCGAATTTTTTTGGGCAGAGTACAAGGATGAATTCTTTGCTCTTCTCTCTAAAGATGTTTCCACTGGCAAAGTATTCTGACTTTATGGATTCTCTGATCCACGATTCTTTGATTTTGATGTTTCTTACTGATTTATCTTATCAATACTTATTTCCCCCAAGCTCCAGAAGAACTTTAGGATTTCTAAAAGGCAATATAGAAAATAAAGTGCTATACCCATCGCCATTGAGTCAATTCTGGCTCATAGTGACCCTATAGGACACAGCAGAAATGCCCCATAAGTTTTCCAAGGCTGTAAGTCTTTATGGACGCAGATTGCCACAAATTTCTTCCGCAGAGTGGCTGGTGGGTTCAAACTGCCGGCCTTTTTGTCAGAGCTAAGCGCTTAACCACTGCACCACGAAGGCTCCTTATAAAATGCTATAACACTCCATAAATGAATGGCTTTAGCCTCCCTCGAGATTTTCACAGCCATTACCTTAAATAGACAGTATTTATGTGTAGAAAAATACCAAGTGATTTAGAATGGTATTTCAAAACTCCATTCTTCTGGTCAGCGTTTTTTTACACTCAAATATTAAACAAACTTTTGGTCACTCTTCAAAGGACTTAAAAACTACAATAGACCTTTACTTACTTGGCTTGACATTGGCCTTTTCTGGAACAAGCTCTTGAGGCGTCTCATCTAATGGAGCAAGAATTCTATGTTCCAAGATTGGAATGTTGCTGTCTTTCAAACCAAAGTGTCTATTTCGTTCGTATTCCTTGTATCTGTTTTCTTTCTGAGACAGTGATTTCCTACGAGCAATTTTGGCTCTAATCATGTCAGTACTTAAATCTTTTCTGTGTCGACTGGCAAAATGTGATGAAGACATCCTGTCAGGGAAAGGAGAGATGGAGGCCAACTTACATGGGTTTTCATTATTTAAAAAATTAATGTTCCAGTTCAATATTTTCACCTCCTGTCCCACCTCAGAGACTTCTGAAATAAAAACACTGAAATACAAAATGGAATAAATATGACACTGAAGAGGTGGAAGGATGTTATTATCAGAAGAAACTGCGACTTATTTTAGGGTGCTAAATAGGAACTTGCTTGACAGATGACGTGAAGCCCAGGAAGCTAAAGAAGGTCTGGGCTTATCATAGAAAACCAAAAACCAAATCCGTTGCCACCGAGTCGATTCCGGCTCGTAGTGACCCTGTAGGACAGAGTAGAACTGCCCCATGGGGTTTCCAAGGATTCGAACTGCTAACCTTTTGGTTAGCAGCCGAGCTCTTAACCACTGTGCCACCAGGGCCCCTGGGCTTACCATAGAGGACACTGAAAAAAGAAGAGTGTGAAGTAAAAGAGAAAACAGGGGAATTAAGTGAAGGACGGTATACATAAGTTTCCTCAGCTGCCTTTCCCTGGAGATAAATGCAGACAGCCTGCCATTTCCTCTAGGGTAGAGGTCTGGGAGGGGGAGGAAAAGGAGCGTGACATAACAAACTAAAAACACTTGTGTATGGGATAAGAAACCAGGGCTTCTAACAGAGTTTTTCCCAGGCATACTAATGCTGCTGGTTAGAGACCAGTTCTGAGAACCACTAGCAGAGCAGTGGTTCTCAAGATTTATTATACATAAGAATCACCTAGGGAACTCGTTAAGCTATAGACTCTGATTCAGTATATCTGGGGTGGAAATGGAAATTCTCAGCAGGGATTCGAACCAGTTCCAAGCCCTGCAAGATGCTAGATTTAGCCTTTTGTGTGTGGCTTCTGAAAATATCCTTGCCAATCCCCTGCAATCCAAGGTGTTGTTTTTTCAAAAACAGCCATGCAATACTTAAACGTTTGCAAATGAGATGGGAGCCCAAGGATCACACCTGGCAAACTCACTTTAGGAAATAAGGGGCGGGGGGCAGGAGGGAACGAGCCGTACATATTCAGTGACTCAATCTATCACTGACTATGCATTAAGGTCCTAGTCACTGAGGCTCCAATAACTATAAAGGACCCTGGACATTGGACCTTCCCGATTGATGATATACATGGGAGGACCAGCACATCTCTAGGGACATGAAGCTCCCTGCAGAAAACTCCTCACAGACCTTGAAACATAAGATGCTATTAGACATGTAAGGGGGGAATGAATAATACATAGCTGGACATATGAGACTGAAAAAAAGAAGGGTTTTTAGGAAGAATTACCCTGGTAAGGATGACGATATCAATTCGCTCTGGTGAAGGCAGAATAATATTTTCAACCATACACAGAATCAAATAGTTTACCTGGCACATCCCTTTTTCTTAGAAAGATCCTTGAGAATGTACTCAAGCAGAAAAAGGGAGAAAGACAAGAAAAAGAATGACAGAAATTCTAAGAAACGGTGGATCCAACTGAGGAAAAGAATGAAGGAAAGTCTAAAGATGTCACCTATGCAGCTGGTGTGGACAACAACCAACCCAAACTGTAGAAACGGAATGGTTATTCAGAAGTCTTGGAGTTTAAAAAAAAAGCGGGTGGGGTGGGTAGGGCGGACTGAGGGGAGAAAAGGAGGCTCTGTGATTGGAAGGTTAAAAAAGTTATAAGCCAGGGCACTGGCCACCTCTCGAGGTGTGGAACACAGCGTGAGGGACCTTGCATCAGCTCCAAGCCCGAGCTGCCACTGATCCAGTGCTGTTAAACTCTGCTACCCAACACTTTTTAAAAAGCAGATGAAGAAATTAAGGTTTAAGGAACAAGAGAGTTGCCTGCAACAAGTGGATGGATTCCAAAAGCCCAAACTACTTCTAGAACAGTATCTGACCAGGTCACACACTGCAGCATGTATGCGCTATACAATCCATAACATGTATGATGACGTTGAAAATAAAGTGGATGCAGATCTAGGATGTGGTTGTGGAGTGCTTAGCATCAGAACTGCAATGTTAGCAGCAGGGTTCTATGTTGGATTTGACACAGATGAAGATGCACTGAAAATATTTAATAGGAATGTGGAAGAGTTTGAGTTAACAAATGTTAACATGGTTCACTGTGATGTGTGCTCATTATCTAACAGAATGTCCAAGTCATTTGATACAGTAATTATGAATCCTCCTTTTGGGACCAAGAATAATAAAGGGACAGATATGGCTTTTCTGAAGACTGCTTTGGAAATGGCAAGAACAGCAGTACATTCTTTACACAAATCCTCAACTAGAGAACATATTCAAAAGAAAGCTGCAGAATAGAAAATCAAGACAGGTATTATTGCAGAGCTGAAATATGACCTGCCAGCATCACACAAATTTCATAAAAAGATGTCAGTGAACACTGAAGTGCACCTCAGTTTTCTTTTTAAAACTCTCCAAAGACAAAAGTAGATTAGAACGTAATTAAAACAAATTTTAAAATTGCTTACTTAAAAAAAAAAAAGTTATAGGCATTGAAAGCCTATAACTCTGAGAACAGGAATAAGACAAGGATGCCCTTTATCACCACTCCTATTCAATACTGTGCTGAAAGTCCTAGCTAGAGCAATAAGGCAAGAAAAAGAAATAAAGGGCATCCAAATTGGCAAGGAAGAAGTAAAACTATCACTATTCACAGATGATATGATACTATACAAAGAGAACCCCAAAGATTCCACAAGAAAACTACTGGAAGTAATAGAAAGATTCATCAGAGTAGCAAGATACAAGATCAACATACAAAAATTCATTGGATTCCTCTGTACCAACAGAGAGAACTTTGAAAAGGAAACCAGGAAAACAATACCATTTATAATAGCCTCTAAAAAGATAAAATACTTAGGAATAAATCTAACCAGGGTTGTAAAAGACCTATACAATGGAAACTACAAAACACTGTTGCAAGAAACCAAGAAAGACCTACATAAATGGAGAAACATACCATGCTAATGGTTGGGAAGACTCAACATTGTGAAAACGTCAATTCTAGCCAAAGCGATCTACAGATATACTGCAATCCCAATCCAAACACTAACAGCATTCTTTAATGAGATGGAAAAACTAATAACCAACTTTATATGGAAAGGAGGCCCTGGATAAGCAAAGCATTGCTGAAGAAGAACAAAGTAGAAGCCTGGTACTGGTACAACAGATACATGGACCAGTGGAACAGAACTGAGAACCCAGATGTAAATCCATCCATCCATGGGCAGCTGATCTTTGACAAAGGGTCAAAGTTCTTTAAATGGGGAAAAGACACCCTCTTTAACAAATGTTGCTGGCAAAACTGTACGTCCATCTGTAAAAAAAAAAATGAAACAGGACCCATACCTCACACCATACACCAAAACTAACTCAAAATTGATCAAAGACCTAAATGTAAAACCTAAAAGGATAAAGATCATGGAAGAAAAAATAGGGACAACACTAGGGGCCCTAATATATGGTGTAAATAGTATATAAACTATAACTAACAATGCACAAACACCAGAAGATAAACTAGATAACTGGGAGCTCTTAAAAATTAAACACTTATGCTCATCAAAAGACTTCACCAAAAGAGTAAAAAGAGAATCCACAGGCTGGGAAAAAAATTTTGGCTACAACATATCCGACATGGGTCTAATCTTTAAAATCTATAAAATACTTCCATACCTCAACAACAACAAAATAACCCAATTAAAAAAGGGGCAAAGGACATGAACAGATATTTCACCAAAAAAGACATTCAGTGGCTAATAGACACATGAGGAAATGCTTGTGATCATTAGCCATTAGAGGAATGCAAATCAAAATTACAATGAGATACTATCTCACCCCGACATTACTGGCACTAACTGAAAAAACAAAAAATAACAAATGTTGGAGAGGTTGCAGGGAGATTAGAACTCTTCTGCATTGCTGGTAACAATGTAAAATGGCACGATCACTATGGAAAATGATATTAAAAAAAAAAAATCAAAAACCAAACCTGTTGCCCTATAGTCGATTCCGACTCATAGTGACCCTAGAGGACAGAGTAGAACTGCCCCATCGGGTTTCCAAGGAGTGGCTGGTGGATTTGAACTGCCGATCTTTTGGTTAGCAGCCAAACGCTTAACCACTGCACCACCAGGGCTCCATGGAAAGTATGGTGCCTCCTTAAAAACCTAGAAATAGAAATACCATATGATCCAGCAATCCCATTACTAGGAATATATCCTAGAGAAATAAGAGCCATCACATGAACAGACATATGCACATCCATGTTCACTGCAGCATTATTCACAATAGCAAAAAGATGAAAACAACCTAAGTGCCCATCAACAGATGAATGGATAAACAAATTATGGTACATACACAATGGAGTACTACCCAATGATAAAGAACGATGATGAATCCCTGAAACATCTCACAACATGGATGAATCTGGAGGGCATTATGCTGAGTGAAATAAGTCAATCCCAAAAGGAGAAATATTGTATGAGACCACTATTACAAAAACTCAAGGTTCACACGCAGAAAAAACAAACAATTTTTGATGGTTATGAGGGAGGGGAGGGGCAGGGAGGGAAATCACTAACTATATAGTAGACAAAGTTCACTTTGGTGAACAGAAAAACAACACACAACATAGGGGAAGTCAGTACAACTTGACCAAGGCAAAGTCATAGAAGCTTCCTAGACACATCCTTGGGGGACCAAGTTACTGGGGCTGAGGGCTAGAGACCATGGTCTTGGGTGACATCTAGGTCAACTGGCATAACACAATTTATAAATAAAATGTTCTACATCCTACTTTGATGAGTAGCATCTAGGGTGTTAAAAGCTTTTGAGTGGCCATCTAAGCTACTGTATTCGTCCCATCCCAACAGGAGTAAAAGAGAATGAAGAAAACCAAAGACACAAGGAAAATATTAGTCCAAAGGACTAATGGACCACATGAGCCATAGCCTCCACCAGCCTGAGCCCAGAAGAACTAGATGGTGCCTGGGTACTAGCATCGACCACTCTGACGGGGATCACAATAGAGGGCCCCAAATAGAGCGAGAGAAAAATGTAGGACAAAATTCAATTCACAAAAAAGACCAGACTTACTGGTCTGATAGAGACTGGAGGAACCCCCATGGCCCCTGGACACCCTGCTAACTCAGAACTGAAGCCACTCTGGAAGTCCACCTTTCAGCCAAAGATTAGACAGGCCTATAAAACAAATAACACACGTGGAGAAAGTGCTTCTTAGTTCAATCAAGCATATGAGGCCAAATGGGCAACACCTGCCCAAAAGCAAAAAACAAGAAGGCAGGGACAGGAAAATTGGACTAATGGACACGGGGAGCCCAAGGTGAAAAGCAGGAGAGTGCTGACACATTGTGGGGATTGCATCAATGTCACTAAACAATCTGTGTATAAATTTTTGAATGAGAAACTAATTTGCTCTGTAAACTTTCACCTAAAGCACAATTAAAAAAAAAAGTTATAGGCGCACTATCCTCTTTTCAACAATAACTAAGAAAGTCCACTAGAACATTCCAGATAAACGAAAAATCTGCACAAGTCATACAACAAATTAAAATGTTAAATGATTTTAAGCAATCAACAGAGTATAAAAATTTAGGATCCATTTGACCTGGATGCTAACACTTTCCTTCAAGAGCCTAGGTAAGGGACAATGGACTGTGCCTTTCATCAAGAACTCGCATATTTAATCATCATAATAACCCTAAAAGACAGTTACTACTATCGCCCTAGTACAGATGAGGCAAATTAACAGCCCACATTAGCACAACTAATACGTGGTGAGGCTGGGCTTCCAAGCCACACATCTAAGTTCTCCTCTTTGGCTGACTGGAGTTTCTTCTCGCTTCAGAGTCTGGAGAGCGTTCGTTAGTCCCGCTTGCCTAAAGGTTCTCAGCCTGGGCGTTTTTAGTTGTCACAAGATCCGAGAGGAACTATTGGAACTTAACATCAGGACCAGGGATGCCAATGTCCTGCATCACTCCAAAGGCCAAAATTGCGCCCCACTAGAAAAACAGATTGCTACAAAGATCATAGCAACAAATATTTACTCTTTTGAAGGACCGTGTTATCAGCTTCGGCAAAGACAAGCAACACGGTCCTAGAGGCTCTTTGCCCCGACGGGCGTCCGGCTCGCAGCCGGATTCTTAGACGTCCTAAACCTTCACCGGAAGCGGACTAACGCCCTCCCTCCAGCTCCCCAGCACCCACCTACCTGAAGCACCTTCTAGCCTGAAACCTCAACAACACTAAAAGTAAAGGAACCCTAACAATAATAACTCGGTCTGGGAGACCACCGCCGCCACGGAGCAGGACCGCTTACACCCGGAGATTCCGCCAAATTCAAACTTCCCGCACCTAGCCTCTGATTGGAGGGACTTTAACCAACACTTCCGGGCAAAGTGTCCGCCTTTCCCTTCGACAAGGCTTGCGATTGGTTTGCTCCCAGCGATATTTGAATTGATTGAAAGGTGAAGAGACGGCTCACAGGATGGGCTTGAGCGGAAGAAAACGGCGAGTGGCGACCGGAGATAAGCTGGGGAGTTTAACTGTGGGAGGCCTCCAGCTGACACTGCGGCGCTGACGGGAGCTTTGGAGACTCTCATGAGGAGGGGCGCTCTGGCCACCGACCGGCTGGGAGTGGCCGAGGGAAGAGCAGCAAGGTTGCTGGGCTCGCGTGTGATCGGTTGCCTGGATCTGCTCTTGAGCTCTCAGAGTTTATGGGATACCCAAGGAAAGACGGAAGAACCCAGTGGGGTCCTCTGGGACTCGGCCAGAAACTCAGAGTTTGCAGGGCTTTTTTTTTTTTTTTTTATTGTACTTCGGGTGAAGATTTACAGAACAAATAGTTTCTCATGAAACAGTAGTACACATATTGTTTTATGACATTGGTTAACAACCTCACGACATGTCAACCCTCTCCCTTCTCGACCTTTTTTTTCTTTTTTTGGTGAAAATATACATAGCCAAAGATACACCATTTCAAAAATTTCTACATGCACAGTTCAGTGACATCGACTACGCTCTTCCAGTTGTGCTGCTATTCTCACTTTAGATGAAGGCTTACAGAACAAAATACTTTCTCATTTAACAGTTAGTACACATGTTGCCGTATGACAATAGTTAACAACCTCACAACACATCAACACTATCCTTACTCAACCTTGGGTTCCCTATCACCAGCTTTCCTGTCCCCTTCTGCTTTCTAGTCCTTGTCCCTGGATTGCTGTGCCTCATTAGTCCCATTTGGTTTTATGGGGCTGTCCAATCCCCGGCTGAACGGTGAACCTCGGAAGTGACTTGACTATAGAGCTAAAAGGGTGTCCGGGGGCCATACTCTCAGGGTTTCTTGTACGGCTTTTTAATATCTCTGTTTAGTTACATAAATCCAGCAGAGGTTATTAGAATGCTTTGCTTAATGTTTTAAAGGAAGGGCTTACCACAGCAGATTTTTCTTTACCTCGTTTGGTGTCACTGTTCAACGTCTCCAGTCTTTTTCTAGTCCATTTTTTAAAACTGAAATCAAATTTTCATACAGTTTTTTTTGGTGTGAAAATTAGTGAGCTTTGATAAATTAAACAGCTGTGTAATCACCACTCATCAAGATATAGAGCATTTCCATCACCCAAACGAGTTCTCTCACGCTGCCTTCAAAACAGGGACAGATTACCCAATAAGCAAGGTAAGTATATGCTTAGGGCATCTACAGAACAGGGGCGCCAGTTGTCCAAAGTAAAAACCCATAGATGCCGAACAGTCGGGACCCAAGGAAAAGCGATTGAAGGAGTGGAAGGGAACTAACTGGTAGGGCAGTAAATGAAATTGATACCATTCCATAAATTTTGTATATGATAATAGTTACATTTTCTTTTTCATTTCCAACTGATCAGGTATAACCTCACGTTCAGTTCTCTCTAGTGGCCCACGTAAGAACGTCCCAAACCAAAAACCAAACCCACTGCCATGGAGTTGATGCTAATTCATAGCGACCCCACAGGGTTTCCAAGGCTGTAAATCTTCAGGGAAGCTGGCTGCCACATCTTTCTGTTGCCGAGCGGCTGGTGGTTTCCAACCGCCGACCTTTAGGTTAGCAGTCCATGCTTTAATCACTGTGCCACCAGGGCTACCTTAAGAACGCCCCAGTGGCGGCTATTATCGCGTGATTCCTCACATATCTGGTCCTGTGCAAAGGGAACCAAAACTTCAGATTGAGCATACCCTTTTGTTTGTGTCATGCTCTCTCGCCACCCCAGTTGAAAATCAGCAGTAGTCAAATGAACTGTGAAGACCAGCATAAAAGGATGGAAGGTAAGTGCACAAATTTTTAAGTATTATTTCAAGACAAGAAACACTTGCAGGGCTCTGCCAAGGGCCCACCAGCAAGCATCATAAGACAAACAAATGGAATTATTTCTGACTGCCTTATAAGTGCTATTTCTTTTGACTATGTGAGAACTGAAGAACAAAATTACATGTTCCAAATCAGTTTTTTTGCTTACTAATTTTCAGATATAATTTTTGTGTGTTAACGTCCAAATTTGAATGTAAATTTTATTTTATAAATTTTATTTATTTTCAATTATTCAAATTTATTTGCTACAGTAGAACCAAATTTAAAAAGTGACATAATTTTATCTCCAGGTAAAATGAAATGGCAAGTAAGTGGAGCACAAAAATGAAAGCTCACAGAAGGTAAAAAGAAAAGGATTTGTGAATCCCTAAAGACAATTCCAAAATTAATTTTCTTTTTAAAACGTAATGAATCAGAAAACACTTCTTCTGTTGAGTGCTGAAGTTTAATGGGTGCAAATGGTTGTACTACTACCGTTAGTGCTGAAATTACTAATAGCAATACAAATATACAGCATTCCTTGCAGTAGTAAAAAAATTAATGGTGTAGAAAGTGAAACTATTTTAGAATCTGAAACTGTCCTATCTGCAGACCCCATAACTAACAGTAATACAGATCCTGCTTTGTGGAATAATTTTCTTCTAATGATGTAAATTATTGGATCAAAAGAGGGCCAAGTGGTTGTCAACATCACAGTGGACCGTTTGAAAATTCCTGTTGAAAATTTCTGGATGGTAAACAAACAAGATTCTCCAGCCAGAATATATTTCTATGGTGCAAAGCTAGTGGTGAAAATTATAAGATGGAGTGGCTACTGTATTCTCCATCAATTGGCTCTCTATATTGTTTTGTTTGCAGACTATTCAGTCGTAAATAATTAGTGATTGGCACAACTCGAATATGGTTTATAAACATAAAAACAGATCAATTCATAGAGATTGTGTGTTGTCATATTTAAACCAAAGACATCGTTTTGGCTTAACTCATGAATTGGAAACACAAATTAATGAAGAACATCATTATTGGAAAGCCATTTTGCAACACGTTGTTGATGTCATTATAATAATTGCTGAATGTGAACTATCTTTTTGAGGAAGAAATGAAGTGTTTAGGTCTCCACAAAATGGAAATTCTGGGGGTTTACTTGAACTTATTGCTCAGTTTGATCCATTTTTAGCAGGTCACATCTCAAAATATGTTAATATAGGAAAGGGCAACCCATCGTGCATATCTAGGACAACGTGTAAAGAATTAGTAAACTTAATAAGTGATAAAGTTCGATCAAGTATTTTCAGTGAAATAAGAATAGCTTGATATTTCAGTTTGTCTGTAGATTCCACTCCTGGTCCTTCTCATACAGATCAGCTAAGTATCGTATTAAGATACGCATCTCCAACAGATGGAAAACCTGTTAAATGATTTATCACAGCTTAAATGTCATACCGGTGAAGAAATTGCAAATCAAGTACTTTACTATTTATGTGAAGTTTGAAAAACTGATTTTTCTAAGTGTACAGGCCAGTACTATGACAATGCTGCCAATATGTCAGGGCATTATGAAGGCATGCAACAGAAAATCTTAGAACATAAAGAATATGCCATTTTCATACCATGTGCCTTGCATTCACTTAATCTTGTAGAACATAGCGTAGTAGATTGTTGTCCAGAAGGATTTTTTTCCTACTGTTCAGTTACTCTACATATTTTTTGCTGCCTCTACTCACTGATAGGCAGTTCTTAAAACATATTTAGTCAATGATCAAGTATTAAAATGTTTTTCTAATGCACGTTAGGAAGTGCATGCTGTAGCAGTGAGTGTAATCCTGGAATCATACTCTCAGATTCTAGATAAGCCTTAGAAAATATTGCTAAAGACCAGACACAAAATGGAGATACCAAAAGAGAAGCTAAAAACATTGCCAACAAAATGCAAACACTAGAGTGTGTATTTATGTAGATTGTATAGAAAAATATATTGCAGCATTTTCATCAGACGAATCAAGCCCTCTAAAATTCAGAAGTAAATTTAAAGTCATGCACAGATCTCTGTCAGTCATTAACAAGGTATTTACATAATGTAAGAGAAGATTTTGAAAACACAGCAAAACAAATACTCCCAAATATTGATTATCAAGCAGTTTACCGTTGCAGAAGCATTAGAAAGAAACAATTAAATGATGGAAGTGCTCTAGAAGTATTATTGAATGCCAGAGATCAGTTTCACATAACCACATACTACACCATCATTGACACACTTGAACCTTGCATGAAAAGAAGGATGAAAGTGTATGAAGTTCTTTCAAATAGATTTTCCTTCTTAAACAATGTGGATATACCTGATGAAGAATGCATGAAACAGAGTCCCTGATGGAGCAGGAGAAAGGTGGAGTGCAGAACTCAGATTCTAGTATGAAGACCAGACTTAATGGTCTGAGACTGGAGGAACCCCAGAATACATGGCCCCTGGATTCTCTATCAGCCCAGAAATAAAACAATTTCCAAGGCCAACTCTTCAGACAGGGATTGGACTGGACTATGGGACATAAAATGATACTCGTGAGGAGTATGTCTCTTAGCTCAAGTAGATACAAGAGACCAAATGGGCACCTTCTGTCCAGAGGTGAGATGGGAAGGCAGAGAGGGTTAGGAGCTGGTTGAAGGGACATGGGGAATCAGGAGTGGAAAGGAGGAGTTGCTGTCGCAGTATGGGGAGAGCAGGTAGAGTCACATAACAATGTATGTATAAATTTTTGTATGGGAGACTAACTTGAAATGTAAACTTCATTTAAACTACAACAATAAAAAAAAATTAAAAAAAAAAAAAAGCATGAAGGCATCCAAGAAATTAGTGCAGGCTTATCCTGTTGACTTAAATACAAACCTTTATGGAGAAGAGTGACAGTTTCATTCTTACATGAGAACTAAGTTTAGAGATTCAGAAAAGACAAATTTTACCCATGTAGGCATGTATGATTCCA